TCTCCCCCTCCCTCGCTGGGCATGGCAGGGCTCCTGCCCCTTGCTTAGCCACCCCCTTTAGGGATGTAATTTGGGGGTGGTAGTTGGGGTGGGCGAGAAGCGGGACACAGGTTTTACTTTTCAAACTCTGTCACTTTCCTCACCATTGTGTCCAGGGAAACATGCTGTAAAAGAAAACTTCTGACGAGTTCAATCAAACTTCTCGAACTCACGAGAAGGTTTTTTTTTTTTTTAAATGTTTCCCTGGACAGAACGGTGAGGAATGCAATGGAGCTGGAAAGGTAAGACGCGTGTCCCGCTTCTCACCCGCCCTACCTGCCATCCCCCAAATTGCATTCCTAAAGGGGGCAGGTGGCTAAGCAAGGGGCAGGAGCCCTGCCATGCCCAGCAAGGGGGTGGGAGAAGAGACGCCAAGGGGAGCCACATCTTGCCCCACGTGTCTCGCTTCTCCCCCGCCCCACCTGCCACCCCTCTCAATAAAGACACGGCGGGGAAGGGAAGCAGTTGTTGCCATTGGGGTGGGGTGGGATGTGTTGAGCTGCTCGGCCAGCGTGAAGAACAGGGAAGAGAGGAGACGGCAGAGACAGGACATCCAGTCCTATGCTCGCTGCATCCCCCAAATAATAAAAAAACCCTGATAATAAGGCCAAGCCCTTATGTGGGGGGGTCAAAAGAAAATAAGACCCTGTCTTATTTTTGGGGAAACACATTATTTTTATTTTTATCAGAGTTTGTTGCAGAAATCAAATCCAGAAAGCACACACAGGTAACTGATTCAGCAGTTCATTAACTTCTCTTTATATATAATAGAACACATGAAAATAAATATATAATACCAATGGCTGATTCTTCCAAGTAGTAGTAGTGTAGTAGTAATAGTAATAGTAGTAGTAGTGGTGGTGGTAGTAGTTACAAGAAAAATACATGCAGAGAAGAGAAGAGTTTCAGTTTCAATTCAGCAGACTAGTTTCAGTTTTTGCAGAGACTCAGAGCTCAGCATAGCATACTTAAGTTTCTGTTTCCAAACAGCCCTCATTGGCTGACTCAGTTGCTATGCCTATTCATTGGCTGACTTTGACCCTATTCCAGTTCATGAATATTCTGACAATTTTTTATTATTTTTATTTCTTTTATATTGTGCTTTTATATCTTGTAAGCTGCCTTGAGTTGCCATGTGCGAGAAGACAGGAATATAAATTTTCTAAATAAATATTCCTTGTGGTCATTCTTTCAAATACTAACCAGACAAAGCTACCATCTTCTGAGACCAAGTGATGATAGGAACCGATTAATTAATGTTGAAATGAGTTTCAAGATCAACTTTTTATAAGTTGACGTACAGTTACTATTATCCCTTCAGCCTACATAATTTAAAGAAAGTTAGCTGCAAAGTCTCTGTATTTATTTATGTGGCACTGGAACTTGCTGGCTCTGAAAAGTTTATCCCATTCTGTTAAACATTAAAAAGAAAATAGGACATGTATCTGTAATTTTCCCATACTTGTCAACCAGATGTATGATTCTCACTTCAGATTTAGGACCCAAATTGGTTTCAGTCCAAGTTGAGTTCGTTTATTTCCTGAAATCCCAAATCTGGCCCAAGCTAAATCTTTCAGTCAGCTCAGTTTCCATATGCAAAATCATCTTTTAAAAAATACCAATTGATTGATTATGTTGTATGAGAGTTTTGATGCTAATTTTTTTTTAAAAAAAACCATTGATTAATGTGAAATTTGAATGGAATAGATTTATGAACAAACACAAACTGGACAAAGATTGATCCCTCTGTCTATCCAGCCTAAGCCACCCTTAGTGATTTTTCCTAAGATTCACCTTTACACTGAAAACTATCTTTCTGTCCAAATGGAAATGCTATGAAGAGACAAGCTTTCCCAGAGCAATTCTGGCAGTTCTACAACCTTGGCTTAAATGAAAAACTCCAAAACGCAGTGAAATAAAAGAATCCTGAATAAAAATAATTCATGGCTCTCTATGTTATGCACACAAAGGCCTGTCATTATTATTTTTCTGTGTGTGAAAATAGAAGAACAGAAAACACCATCACCTCTTCTGTACTCTGAAACACAAGCTTGTTTGGAAGAGAAGCCATTCCTTTTCCCTAATGAATGCAAGGTGATATGAAAAACAAACAAACAAACAATAAGGTAAAGGTAAAGGTTCCCCTGCACATGTGTGCTAGTAGTTTCCAGCTCTAGGGGGCAGTGCTCATCTCCGTTTCTAAGTCGAAGAGCCAGTGCTTTCCGAAGACGTCTCCATGGTCATGTGGCTGGCATGACTAAATGCCGAAGGCGCATGGAATGCTGTTACCTTCCCACCAAAGTGGTTCCTATTTTTCTACTTGCATTTTTAATGTGCTTTCGAACTGCTAGGTTGGCAAAAGCTGGGATAAGTAACGGGAGCTCACTCCGTTACGCAGCATTAGGGATTTGAACCGCTGAACTGCCAACCTTCTGATTGACAAGCTCAGCATCTTAGCCACTGAGCCACCTTGTCCCTAACCTACAATATATCCATGTAAATAGATTTCAGAAAATAGTGTTTGAATTCAATCTTTTGGATCCCAATGGCATCCCAAATTCTATTACCGTCAACTTCTCTCTTTCTTACAGAATTAATGAAGAGATTACTGTTTATGCAAAATTGAAAACAGCGAGGAAGGAAAATGCATAAATTACTGTAGTGTTCAAATTAATTTCCCTCACCTGATGAAGAAAGAAAGAATTGTGGGTGGATGTCAGTCTCTGCTTTGCAGTTTGGGGAAGACAGTCATTCCTAGATTCTGAGTAAAGCCTTCACAAGCATTCCTATATTCCATTCTTCAGTTTATGAGTGTAACAGAGGGAAGGGGTTTACTGTGATACAGACCAGTCATTCTGAGGAACACTTGCCTAATGTTTCAGTCTGTGATATATTTCCAATAAAAACCCCTCCCTTTCCACAAAATACTGCCTGGAGCCCTGGTAGCTCTGGTAGCGCAGCAGACTAAAGCACTGTTACTAACATCAGCTGCCTGCAATTACTGCAAGTTCAAATCTCACCAGGCTCAAGGTTGACTCAGCCTTCCATCCTTTCTAAGGTAGGTAAAATGAGGACCCAGATTGTGGGGGCAATAAGCTGACTTTGTATAAATATACAAAAGTATGAAGCCTATTGCTTAACGCATTGTAAGCCGCCCTGAGTCTTCGGAGAAGGGCAGCATATAAATCAAATTAAAAAAAAAAAAACTGCCCAGTTTCTCTAACTCAGATCCCTCGACCAGGGGTGGGCAATTGTGGATCTTTTACAACCTGTGGACTTCAACTCCCAGAATTCCTGAGACAGCCAAGCTGTCTCAGGAATTCTGGGAGTTGAAGTCCACAGGTTGTAAAAGAACCACAATTGCCCACCCCTGCCCTAGACCAATTTACACTGTATTTGACTTGCACTTCATGACATGCGACTGAATTACATGATTAGGCTGGCTCATAGACTGAAAGTCCATGTGGTTGATCAAATTAGAGTGTAGTCAAATTAGAGACTTTCTTGGAGACTGGGGAGGGTGAAAATGGCCTTCCCACCCCACCCCCACGGAAGCCCTCCAGAGGCTGGAAACAGCTTGTTTCCCGGCTTCCGGTGAGACTGGAAGGCCCATTTTTCACTCTCCACAGGCTCCAGAAGCTTTCTAGGAGCCTGGGATGGGCAAAAATGGCCTTCCCCACCCCTCTGGAGGCCGTCCGGAGGCCAGAAACAGCTTGTTTCCTGACTTCCAGTAGGCTCGGAAGGCCCCAAAATCAGCTGGCCTGCACATGCATGTGTGCTGGAGCTGAGTTAGGGTAATGCTCGTGTGCCCACCGATACGGCTCCATGTGCCACCTGTGGCACACATGCCATAGGTTCGCCATAACGGCCCTATAATGTTTCTTGGCAAAAAAATTGGAAAAAATCGGGGTGGGGGAGTAATGGGAAGGGGTCATGTACTACATTCATATTTCCTGGATAAAGTCTGTATGGTTAAGCTGTTGAACTCAGCATCAGAGAGACCTAGATACGAGTCTACCCTCCACCACAGAAACTCACTATTTAATAGAAGTCGTGCTCTCTTTCTCTCCAACTTGCCACATAGGACTGTTGTGCGAAAACTGCAAGAGAGAGTGCTATGTGTGTCTTTTTGAGCTCCTTGTGGAGTATAAATCTTACAAATAAACAGAGGAGAAAGAAATTATGCATATGGAAAGATGTAAGTACAGAACTGGAAAGCAGCATTAAGATAGAAGAGGCTCTGTTGATGGAGGCTGTAGTTAATAAATTGGAAGAGAATTTGAGAGATGAAAGTGTTAAGAGTCAATGAAACTAAAATTGGTTTCTGCTGAAGCAAATCCAGTTTTTAGCAGAATATGAGTTTGCTCAAAAAGCTTGTGTTCTTTCCATGAGTGGAAACTACAAAGAGATTATGATGTTTATCTATGTATGCTTTTGTGTTTTATAATGTTTGGTTTTTTGTTTTTTAATCCATGCTCCTTTGTTTATTCTTTTTTTGCATGTATGCAGATGTCACAGTAAATTCATTTATAAAGGCTAGATATATTTGTTTATTAACAAAACAATTCAGAATGCTTCTCCTGAACTAGCAAACTTCAAGCAATTTAGGAAGAAATGAAATCTAGATGAGTGAATAGCATTCTTCCTGTATAATTCTGAATATAATTCTGTGTATTCTGTAAAAAAAAAAAATCCCACTAAATTAAACAACAACAACGAAGAATTAGTCATCTTTCAAAAGGATCGGATCACAAAAGGCTGAGATCGGGATTGTAATACTAAACATAATGTAATGGTTTTTGGCAGCATACCAAATGCCAAAAGAGGAATCCAGGAATCTTTTAATACAAATTAATTTTTGAAAGAAAAGAGAAAGGAACTCTTTATTCACTTTTTTCTTGATGTTTTCTCTCTTCTGCACTCCCCTTTAGGAGATGGACAAAGAATAAAATGACAAAGTGTGAAAAAAAAACATTTTAATATATTTAATCTTATTATACATTTCTTTCTAAATTACAAAGTCAACAAATTGCAAGTATAGTTTTGCTACAAAGCTTTCTGTAGGAAATCTCTTCTATAAGAAAATACATCTCATTAAACATTTCCTGTAAATAAATTATTTCAAATACTACATATGGGGGAAAATAAAGTGGGGAAGGGCATGCAGATAACATTTCAACAAGTCAGGGATATAACTTTGTTACTGTTAGCTGGGCTGAGGGCAAGGATCTTTCCTATAATCAAAGAACTGATACATTTTGTCCATCTCCATCCCATTTTCATTGTATTGAAGTAAACTGAATAGAGCTTCCTGTATTAAACTCCCAAATAATTTGAACTTCCTAAACTTTAAATAAGCTTCTATATAAGTATCTTATTACTGACAAAAAAAAATTAAATATTCAATCTGGTGCTTCAGAGCTAATAATCTGTTGGTAGCAGGAACAATTGATGTTTTTTTTAAAAAAATAGTTTTCTAATTTCTTGCTCAAGCTGCTTTTCCTAAATGAAGTTTCAATGAGAAGTTTGCCAAAGGAAATACATATCTAAAACATAAATGGATGGAGCAATGTCTTGGGATATTTTAAGTAGAACAATTAAGCCAGAGAAAGCTAAAACTGCATTGTATCTCTACTATCTGTCAAAGCTACTTTTTTTATTTTAAGCAATACTGTCTAAAATTCATAAAACAAATTTGCATGTAATATCCATTTTTTCCTCCTAGATCATGTACATTAAAATAAACTACACAAATAGTATGGGAAGAAATTAGAACATATAACATCCTATTAATACTGGACTAAGGAGTCTATCAACTGTACTGCTAGCGTAGTTTCATGGCTTACTCTGAATTCCCATCAAAGGTTTATGGAATTCTGATTTTAAAACAAAAACTTAGAGAATTATAAACACCTCTGCCAAAATCCACTTTCTTGCCTTTTTGTGTGTATAAACAATGAAGGACAGGCTGCAAATTGCTTTACCACTACCATATGCGTTTAGATAATTTAGGTACTTTCTGAAGTTGCAGTTTGGCACTGAAATGGAAAATGGTTTGAAAGTATTTTTTTAATAGACATGAAAAACATGTAGCATTTGGCTGATATTTATTCGTGGGTTTTGAAATATAAATTAATTACAGATAAATGTTAATTTTTGCAAAACTTAGTCATTTCATGGCTTCAGAAAGTCAGGGAAAAAAACTTGCTAGCTACAAAAACACTTTGTTGCTATTGTTGTTGGTTACCTTTGATTGCTCCATTTTTAACAGATATTACAAATGGCATATTGCCTCAGCATATTAAACTCACATGAAGGAGTCCCCAAAATAAAACAAAATGAACAGAATTAGAAACACACACACACAAACACACACACACACACACAAACAAGCACACAATTCTTTCCTCCTTTTAAGCAAAGAGGAACCATCAGTCTCCTAAAGTTAACGTAGATCATACCATGTGGATATCAACACTGTGAAAGAACATATAAGGATGCTGAATGGGGAAGAAAGGAGAAGAAATTGGTGTCCATTTTACTAGCCCATTAATACTGCTGAAGTGAACTCCACTGGCATCCATTGATATACGTACAGCAATCCAGTAGTGCCAATGTCAAACACATTCCTAAGGTGCATTCAGAACATATTTACCGTATTCTTATGACACATATTAATCTCAATACTCTCAATGCTATTATCTTTTTTTTTTGTCACTGACATATCATGGTTTACGTTCTGATCTAAAACCCTTATGACATATTATTTAGCAAAACAGGTTTAATGATCCTGAATGCCCCACTTTAAGGGCAAAAATGAAGAATAATTCATAATGCAAACCCCCATTCCCTAGTATTTACAACCAGCATCTTAGTATATCATTCCATTTTGGATGTGGTAATGAATAGTCTGTTTTTACTGTAAATCCATGTGGCTATCAATAAATCAGTAAACCAAGTTAATGGGAGTCATTAGCTACAATAAATGAAGAACTATCAGTTTGTGTTATGAAATCTAACTGTTTATATCATTTATATGAATCTAAATCAGTGTTTTTTACTGTTGACAATTTAAGATATCTGGACTTCAAAACCCAGAATTCTCCAACCAGTATAGCTAAATTGCAAAACTTGAGAAATATGAATCTAGATTATTACCCTAGCTTAACTGCCTCTTTTCATATATATTGACAGAGATTAAAAATCCCTTTGCAAGTGAGGGCCTTGGATTGTAAAACAATAAAGTCCATAATTGTAGTAACTTCCTCTTTTATTTCCAACACCTTTAGTTTGCTGGGAACTTTTTGTAGTTATTATTCAGTATACAACAGTGGTGGGTTGCTCCCGGTTTGCACTGGTTCTATAGAACCGGTAGTAAAACCGGCAGAAGGCCCCGCCCACCGACCCCAACATCGCCAAAACGCTTCTGCGCATGTGCAGAAGATTGTGCATGCATGCACGCGGCCCTGCTGCAAACCAGTAGCAAAGGTAAGTAGAACCCACCCCTAATATACAAGTATGTGTTGATAGAAATATATTTTGGCAAAAAAAAAAAAGAAAAGAAATATGTCTTGGCAAAGTCCTGCTCTGTATTGTAAATATATCCTATTTTATCATCAGAGTGGGATAAACTACCTACAACTAATATGGAAAAGTCACAAGATTATCAGTAGAAGCTTTGTCGCAAATCTTTGGCCGCACTGTCTAATGGCATCACGCTAAAAAGAACATCCATCTGCTGTCAGCCGTACTTCCAAGCAGAATTATAACACATGTGGAGATGATGCTTTTTCTTGCCACAAGGATACTGGGCCAGTCATTTGGGCCTTTTTCTGGCTCAAGGAAACTTGGGCCAGTCATTTTTTTATTTACAATTTTTTTTTCCACCATAGTCTATGCAGTAGACATTTGTCAAGGCCTGCCGGTGACAATTTTCAAATCCTGTCTCAGATCTTCTGGCACATATGAAGTCTTGCTTTTGAAGAATAAGTGGCATCTTTCCAGATTTTACATGATAAGCCTTTGGCACAGTCACATCGCTGGAAAATCTCCAAGCCATGGGAACCTTTCTTCCGCTGTTTAGTGCATACTTCTCCTTGGTGTAGCACAGGTTTGCAAATTTTGGTCCAAAAATGACGAGCACAACAAAACCCTTCTGTGCAATCAGAGGACCTTAAGCAAGGATCTCCTTCATGACCTTAAAAAGGAAACACCACTTTATTAGTTAGTAATCCTAAGGAAGGGCAACTAAAGCAATTAGGTCATTTTCCAAATATATTCTGATAAATATATATTTGTTTAAATGTATCTGCATGTTCTTCCAGACCATTTAAAGAGAATATTTTATTTATGGTTAGAGAAGTTGAAATTGAATGGCAACAATCCTTTCCCTTTAACAGAATATATTCTATTCCCATATAAGACTTTTATAAACCAATCATGCCCTTTTCAGCATACAATAATCTGTAAAGTAGGAGCAAAGGACACATGTCCTTCCAGATGTTGCTAAACTCAGCAGCCTAAACCAGAGCAGCCACTGGAAAAGAATTCCTGTTAATGAGATCTATTACTACACGGGATTGCAGCCTTTACAAACTATCTCTATGAATTATGCCGGAAGGACATCACAGATTTCACTAGCACCTTAGCCTAAAATCTACTAAACATGTAGAAAAGTCTTCCATATTTTTTTCTTTTTCAGTTTTATCCAAGTCATGGGAAATAGTAAGACAATGTTCACTAACTTCTTTGGGCTCATTGATGTAAGAGCTGAGCAAGAGCCGAGGTGGCACAGTGGTTAGAGTGCAGTACTGCAGCTACTTCAGCTGACTGCTAGTTCAGCAGATCAGCGGATCAAATCTCACCGGCTCAAGGTTGACTCAGAAATACGAATAATAAATAAATACATAAATAAGTAAATAAATATTAACCACTAGTTACATATTAAGAGAAGGATCCAAGGATGCCATTCTTAATAGATCTTTCATACTAAGTTCTGTTTCAGGGACTTGGGCACTTCCAGAACACACTTTTATAAGAAGGAATTAGCTCATCCTATATTTAATGAACTCCTGTATATTCTGTAACAGGAAGAAATGTGAAATCTCTTGTATAGACCACAAATCTACATTATGGTGAGTAACAACTATTAAATAAATGAACCAGCAAATAATTTATTCCATATGTAGCTCAATTATAAACACTTATATAAGAATGATTAAATAAGTGTGTTTAAGATTATGAAGCTCCTATCTGAAAAAATCATCAGTATAGACCAGTGATGGCTAACCTTTTTGCCATCGCGTGCCAGGAAAGGGGAGGAGTGGGGGTCATGCGCATGCATGCCCACACCCATAATTCTATGTGCCCTGCCCCCACGCATGCATGCATGACCTGGCACGTGATGGCACGGTGGGCTCGGTAGGTCCATTTTCTCTCTCCCCAGGCTCCAGAGCCTTTCTAGGAGCTTGGAGAGGATGAAAACGGCCTTCTCCGCCCCCCTGGAGGCCCTCCAGAGGCTGTAAATGGCCCATTTGCTAAATTCTGGTGGGACCAGAAGACCCATTTTTTGCTCTTCCCCAGGCTCAAGAGCCTTTCTAGAAGCTTGGGGAGGGCGAAACTGCCTTCCCCACGCCCTGGAGCCCTCTGGAGGCCAGAAATGACCCATTTTCCAACTAAGCTGAGTTCACATGCCCACTGATATGGCACAGGTGGCACACATGCCATAGGTTTGCCATCACAAGTATAGACCTTTGATCACACAAAGGTCAAATTAATTATTCCTGTGGAATATGGTACTTAATGGGAAAAAGTTCCCCAATATTTAAAGATATGAAAGGATGCCTTCAAAGATGATCTTATACATAGTTGGGCACAGGACCACCTTAGAGGATATAGAAACAGGCATCATCAGCATTCAAAGAGATGCCATTTTTCTAAGGTTCTCCTGTTCCTCACCCCCACAGAAGCCTGTCATTGAAGAGAATCAAAATGTCAATACATAAATTTACTGCTTTTTCAAAAGTGTTCTTCCCTTCTCAGGAAACCATTACAGACCGTTTATAAATCAAGCTATCCTACCTTTTGCGTGTGTCAGCTTAGACTGTCCTTTCCCAAGATTTTGCCAGCCCAAATCCTTGGTGGGATAGTGATTATTTTTTTTATTGCGAGGCACTTCTAGAGCTGGAATATGGGGTGTGAGAATGCTCTCAGTCACTGGTATACAAATACCTAAATCAATGAATGAAACAAGTTAGAACTGGAAATACCACAGTTAACACCATAACTGGAATGCCACAAACAAAGAATCTATTAATATTCATAAAGAAAGTAAATCCTCAAATTTATGCAAGTTTGATGTCTTCCATGGCTGTCCCATACAACATCGGTTAATTTTATTATCAGCAAACTGCAGTTGGGGTACTGAGGCTGAGAGGCTGGTCTTTAGCAGGACTCCAGTTCCCAACCAATATAGCGTTTGGATTTAATATGTCCATCAGTCATTAAGTTGAGAAAGTACAATTTGAAAGTAAGATTTGACAACCTGCAGGCAGTGGAGCTCATGCATCTATCCAGTCTCATTCTGCAGTCCCCAGAGCAGTCACACAACTGGTATAATTGCAACGCTGAGCCCATTTTTTTGTGTTACTTTAAAAAGCAATTCCAGTTTACCACAATATGTTTAATTAGATTAAATCCAAATTTCAGTAGAAACCATTCCATAAGAAATTAAATATTGCTAAATATGAATGATTGACAATAGTTAATATATTAAACTATATATACTTTGTTATTCTTCTCACCTGATTTTATATGTATGCATGTATGTATGTATGTATGTATGTATATACATATGCATATGTGTACATATAGTACATACAGTATGTATATGTATGTGTATACTGTACATACTTATCTTTTATTTTATGTACACTGAGATCATATGCACCAAGACAAATTCCTTGTGTGTCCAATCACACTTGGCCAATAAAAATTCTATTCTATTCTGTGTATATACTAATATCAAGATGTTTCAAACTATGAAGTCCAATTCACAAATATTTTTGAGAAAGTAATATGCTATTACAAATTGGATCCCATCTCTTTCTCTTTAGGTTAGGTGGCTCAGTGGCTAAGATGCTGAGCTTGTCAATCAGAAATGTCAGCAGTTTGGTAGTTTGAATCCTTAGCATAGGTCTCCTGCGTGAGCAGGGGATTGGACTAGATGACTTCGAAGATCCCTTCCAACTCTGTTACTGTATATAGTGAGTTCTTATGTGCTTTCTAGCTAGTCTCCAGATGTACCCTGTTCATGTGCAACAGTTCATTATTTTTTTTAATGGCTGAGGCATCTCCCCTCAAAATTTGCAAATATAGAATTCTCATGCCATTTTGTGGAAGAATTGTGATAAAAGATTTGGTGCAGGGGTGGGTTCTAAATTTTTTTACTACTGGTTCTGTGGGTGTGGCTTATTTTGTGGGCATGGCTTGGTGGGAGTAATGTGGCTGGGTGGGGGTGGCCATTTTTTTTTTTTTTACTTTTAAAAGCATTTTTTCTACAACCTTAAGAGGTTGCAGAAAAAAATGCTTTTAAAAGTCTCTAATGATCAGGCAACTCAGCTGGGATCACCAGAGGCTTTTAAAGGCATTTTTTTTTTCTACAACCTCTTCGGCTGAAGAGGTTGTAGAAAAAATGCTTTTAAAAGTAAAAAAAAGCCTTTGATGAGGTGGGTGGGGTAAGTGAGCGGTGACTGGGCCGGGGACCGGGCCGGGGGCATGGCCAGCCAATGTTATTACTGGTTCTCGGAACTACTACAAATTTTTACTACCGGTTCTTGAGAACTGGGAGCAACCCACCACTGATTTGGTGCAATTAAAATAAATTACTTCATGATAGTGATAATGATAACATTTTAGAGTTTTCCATGGAAATTCAATATTGCTGATTCCGGATCTACAAACTAGAAGTAATTATTTTTAGATAGGATTCTCTACCAAATATCCAATAATGCTGGTATTTAAATAATACGATAGTCCCAGGTAAAACAATTTCCTCATATTTTTTCTTGTAGCATTGATTCCATTTGTTGAAAGAGAAATTACTTTAGAAATTATTTCAAAGGAGATTATCAAAATTAGGTTTTACTGTACTTATTTAATTGCAAGATAGCTAAAGAATGTGTGCATGTCTGAATGAGCGAGAGAGAGAATGCTGTCTTTCATTTCACTCCCCATAAATTGGATGGAGCATTCAATTTATGGGGCCTATGGAAGCCTATGCTTGAGTAGGTTTCTTTCCTGAAGAGACTGATACTGATGTCTGCAGATCAGGCAAAACACTATGTCCAATGTTACAGTAGGACAGAAGTCCCTTTCATTGAAGTAGTGCAATGGCTGTCCATTCTGTAATAGCACGACTCCTTAAAATGGCAAGGTGCATGACCCTAGTGAATAAAATGAATGGTTTTAATGAACAAGAAAGAGATTTATCACTTACTTTTAATAATTAAATTTTAAGCTATAAGCCAAACCAATGAAATAACCTTGCAAGGTTACTAAAAATTAGAAATAAAGAAATCTCTAATAAAATTTAAACCATATATTTAATAGGAAGGATGATATAACTTGATATAACTCCTGAAATCTGAAGTTTCATTTTTGAAGATAATCGTTCTTACTCATCAAAGTAAAGTGACAGGGGAGATTGAAAAGGTTATTTCATGGCCTTCAATAAGTTCATCTAGGGTTGCCAGGTCTGCTTCCAAAAAATAGCGGAAAGCTGGGGGGGGGGGGGTTAAGTAGTAAAAAAATAAAAAAAAATTACAATTAAATTATATATTTTCTTACAAACATTTTAACATGCCATTTTAGGTCAGTCGACACAAGCTACAATACATTTTAAAAATGTGAACTGTATATAAAATATATTTTATAATATATTTTTATTTTAATCTCATCATTAATTTTTTCGGAGAATCAAGTTCAATGCATATTCGATCTTTGTCTCATTCTAACTTATGAAAAAAAAGACAAAACGCGATTCTCCTATCCTTATTCCCTTAGACTGTACAGCTTTAGATTATGTACTATTTCATCATAAAGCTTTTGAATAAAAAAAATGTCCACTATTTTGTGAAAAAAAATAGTGAACATAATGTGAAAAAAGTGGACTGTCCGCTCAAATAGTGGACACCTGGCAACCCTAAGTTCATCTTAAACTGTTCTTAAAATATGGAGGTCTGCAAAACAGACTTAATAGAGGCTTAAGTTACTTGTTGTACTTTTGTCCCAGTATAGCTATACTGAGGTAACAAACAGCACAGTTTCTTTCCCTTCCAGTCTACTCAGCAGTGGGTTTCAGCAAGTTCTGAACAGTTCTGGAGAACCGGTAGCGGAAATTTTGAGTAGTTCGGAGAACCGGTAAATACCACCTCTGACCCATTTATTCTCTGTCCCCCGAGTCCCAGCTGATTGGGAGGAAATGGGGATTTTGCAGTAACCTTCCCCTGGAATGTGGTGGGAATGGAAATTTTACAGTATCCTTCACCTGCCACGCCCACCAAGTCACATGCACAGAACCGGTAGTAAAAAAATTTGAAACCCATCATTGAATCTAGTGTTTTGGTGGTTACAACACCCTCCCTTTACTCAGTAACATTTCACCCCTTCCTCGTCTCTGTTATTTTTCCCTAGAGTGGGTTGTGAGATGGTCAAAACTTTGCCAAGAAGCCTCATTCCTCCAGATAAGGTTGCTCCTCATTTGAAAGGAAAATGTAGTATATTAAAACCAGAAAAAGGAAAAAAAAAAAAGGATTCGCTGCTGAGAAACAGCAGAGTAATGGATTAAAAAGGAATGTGTCTATCTCATGAGAAAAAATATTTTGTGGCAATTTTGATAATCCATGAATTCAAGAGATCAACTGTTTCTCCATTAATAAGAACTGAGGTGGTGCAGTGGTTAGAGTGCAGTACTGTAGGCTACTGCTAGCTGCAGTTCAACAGTTCAAATCTCACCGGCTCAAGGTTGATTCAGTCTTCCATTCTTCCAAGGTAGGTAAAATGAGGACCCACATTGTTGGGGGCAATACGCTAATTTGGAAAAACGCTTAGAGAGTCCTGTAAAAAAAGCACTATGAAGCGGTATATAAGTCTAAGTGCTATTGCTATTGCTATCTCTTTCTCTCATTCTAGAATGAACGTTGATGCCCCCAAAATGAATCTTCTACCTAATTGCCAAATCTTGAAGAACAAATATGAGAATCAAGCACTAAAATATTTTACACTATTCATGGTTTTTTTTGCTTTTTTTAAAAAAAAATTAAGACTCATGCAAATACCATTGTTACAGCGGTTTCCAGGACAACACATGCCATCTCTGTGGCAACGTTTCTTCTTCCTTCTACAAACCATGCAGGCAGATGTAGCTTGATGGGGACTGTGGCAGTACTTCCCGACTTCACATTCTTTATCATTAGTGCAAGGATAAGCCTGTGGGTAGTTATAAATACAAGTGTCATAACGAGTCAACAACACTGTAAAACTCAAAACAAAGTGATAATGCAGGCATATTTTTCAGAGACCAACTTAAAGGTTTTTCATACTTTCAGTATTCAGTGACACTAAAATACCCAGATTTTTGGTTTTGTCATAACTGATAGCACAGTGATGGCTAACCTTTTTGTTGTCACGTGCCAAAAGTGTGTGTGTGCCGGTACCCATAATGCAATGCACATGTGACACCCCCTTTGTGCCCTGTCCCCCTAAACAGGTGCACATGACCCTCCTACATGACTCCCACACCACGCATGCATGTGTGACTCCCCCGTTCTCCCCTACCCCCCTGTGCATGCACATGTGACCCCCCCATGCCCTGTTTTGGGCCTAACAGGCCTCCATGCAGCCTCCTTAAACCAAAAACAGGCCACAGGGGGCACACCGCACCTCCTATGCCCCATTTTGGGCCTAGCAGGCCTCCCTGCATCCTCCTGGGACCAAAAATGGGCCATGGGGGGGGCGCAACACATCCTCCTGCACTCCCCCACAACCCACACATGTGCATGCGACCCCCCCACCCCTGCACATATCTCCTGCATGCACCCCCCCATGCATGCGCAGCAGAGACCCGAAAATCAGCTGGATGATGGGAGGCGTGCGCACATGCATGGTGGAGCTGAACTGGGGCGACAGCTCACGTGCCCATAGAGAGGTCTCTGCATGCCACTTGTGACATGCTTGCCATAGGTTCGCCATCACTGTGATAGCACATAAATTAGATTGTCTTGTGTACAATTAGATTGACTATCACAGAGGTAAGATCAAGAAGTAAGTTTAGATAGATCATTTTCTATATGATGCTAATAATAGGCATCATGTGAATCTTTCCTTTTAAGATTTAGATGAGCAGATTATTGAAAGTTACAGGAATAATATTGAGATATTGATAATATTTCCTCCAACTGAAACAATCAATCAAACAAACAAAACAAAAGTCAAATTTTCCCATAGCAAAATAGGAGAAATTCACATGATACTATATTCATGAACTGTTCCTTTGGTTAAAAGTGAATCTCTACTTCATTATCAATTAAACTGCAGGATTTACTTTCTTTGGGATCTGAAGAGAAGAATGCATATCAATACTCCTCCATAATCCTTTCCTTCTCTAAGAAGTCATGATTTGGCCAAAAAAAAAAACCCCTACAGTTAAAACAGTCAAGGAAATTTATTGCATTTCCTTTGATCTTTGATCCAAATTTGGCATGAGAGTCATTTTGCTTTCAAAATCCCACTAGGGCATTTCTTAATGTAAGTCAGCAGAAAAATTACTAGGGAGTGTAAAAGAGAGAAATATTGCAGATAAATAGACATATCTCTCTGTAGATTAGTTTCTATTTTTTTTTTTAAAAAAACAACCCTATTATGAGGCAAAAAGAAAGCCTCAAGAAAAATCTTACCTTTCATTTCTAAAATTTTTATGCCCCTTATCTAGATGGGGTGGATTTTGTCCATGTTCCAAATATCTGTCCTTTGATGCTGAATTTAATTGAATCAGCTGCTATTTGGGGCTGTTTTAAACTACTTTGAATAAATTAATTTCTGAGATTTTTTTTTGTATCTTTACATAAATACAGACCGTAAATTGTTTGATAAGGAAGCACCTGTCTCCAACTTCCCCTTTCTTAGGAAAGTTGTTGAGAGGATATCCTACTGATGTCAAGAGTTATATTTTCTGTTATACTTTTTCTCAGTATGGCGCCAGTCCAGGGATGAAATCCAGCAGATTCTGACAAGATTCTGGGAAACCGGCAGCGGAAATTTTGAGTAGTTTGGAGAACCGGGAAATACCACTCTGGCTGGCCCCAGAGTGGGGTGGCAATGGAGATTCTGCAGTATCCTTCCCCTGCCACGCCCACTAAGCCACACCATGCCCACCAAGTCACGCCCACAGAACCAGTAGTAAAAAAAATTGGATTTCACCATCTCATGGTAAATCCATTGCTTTTTCATGAAATGCCAAAAGTATCATGTTACCTCCCTAAATCTTTTACAGTGAACTCTGGGAAAGTGCAAACTTCTTTTTCCAATGCCAAGAGCCCATTGATCAACCTGGGTTGATGTCAAAAAAACCAAGAAAGCAATCTAGTTTGTAAAAAAACACAAAATCCTGGACATTTTTTCCCATGGTTAACTTGATTCTTTATAAGATACCTTCTTGGGCTTGAGGGGCCTTTCTAGAATGACATAGGATTGGAACAGTGGTGGGTTTCAAAATTTTTTACTACCGGTTCTGTGGGTGTGGCTTGGTGGGCATGGCATGGCTTGGTGGGTGTGGCTTGGTGGGCGTGGCAGGGAAAGGATACTGTAAAATCTCCATTCCCACACGGCTACAGGGGGAGGTTACTGCAAAATCTCCATTTCCTCCCAATCAGCTGGGACTTGGGAGGCAGAGAATAGATGGGGGCGGGGCCAGTCAGAATTTTTACTACAGGTTCTCCGAACCACTCAAAATTTCCGCTACCGGTTCTCCAGAACTGGTCAGAACCTACTGAAACCCACCTCTGGATTAACCCAAGAAAGTCTGCCATGGAAAGTGAATAGAGAAATGTGATAATTTTGCCTTCTGTGAGTAATATTTTTTATTCACAAAAGCATTTTAAGATTCAAGAATTGTGTTTATACAAATCTAAGAGCTAGTAAAATCTCATAATTCAAAACTCCATGAATGAACGTATGCACATATACATATGTGATATGGGGACTGGAGGCTAAAACATATAAAGAATGGTTGCTAGAATGGGGTATGTTTAGTTTTATACAGAAGAAAGACTGAGGTGACATGATAGCAGTGTTCCGATATCTCAGGAGCTGCCACAAAGAAGAAGTAGTCAAGTTATTCTCCAAAGCACCTGAGCGCAGAAGCAATGGGGGGGGGAACTAATCAAGGAGAGAAGCAACTAGAACTAAAAAGAAATTTCCTGACAGTTAGAACAATTAACCAGTGGAACAACTTGTCTCCAGAAGTTGTGAATGCTCCAACACTGGAAGTTTTAAAGAAAAGATTGGACAAACATTTGTCTGAAATGGTATAGGGTTTCCTGCCTGAGCAGGGGGTTGGACTAGAAGACTGCCAAGGTTCCTTCCAATTCTGTTATTCTATTCTGTTCTGTTCTGTTCTGTTCTGTTCTGTTCTGTTCTGTTCTGTTCTGTTCTGTTCTGTTCTGTTCTATTCTAAATACTGAATTAAACAGTTGAAAAAAATATTGAAACAAGGATAACTTCATTTAAAGCCATTCCATTTCTTAGGTCAAACTAGCTTTGAAATTGACAGTGTTAGTAAGTTAATTCTTTTCATTTCACATCTGCCCCACTGATGTTTTCTTCTCCCTCCCCTGTGTATCTTTGACATATTAAAATCAACATTGCAATTTTCAAGCACATCACAGTTGGCCATGTTACATCACAGAAACTTATGAAGTCTAAGAATACAGATTCTATTACATTATGAGAATCTTTTGGAGTGGGAAATCATCATATATTATGGTTGATCATATAGTCAGCCAGATGTTTAGACTAGATTTGGTATTTTTATCCACCTATTGAGTCATTCCCAAGGACTTGTTATAGGCAGGTATTGTTATTTGATAGTGCTAAAGATATCGTCACAATATGTAAGCTATTATAAGTAAACCTGCCTTTTGCAATTGACCGATGGTGATTTTATTATTATTGATACACTTTTTGGCAGGAAATTTACCATGCATATATATTATGTGATTCCATAATTTTAGAAAAACGCTTAATACATGGAAATTAAAAGTAGGTTGACATAGCAACAATATTATATAATCAAACAGGAGGCATATTTGGTAGATTTTTCTTCTCTCCCCCCCCCTTTCTATTTGACAGTACAATTTTGAAAATAATTATAGAAAGACAGAGTTGTAATCATAAAAATATTTTTTGATGCAAGAAGAGTTACTGAGCCAATTCTGTAACATGTTCTGCTGGTGGGAAGACATAAAGCTTTTGAGCCCCACGAAACTCTTTTTCAATGATCCACATTTTGTTATTACTAGCATTTCAAAGTGATAAACTAAACTAGACAAGCTGGTCTTTGCATCCTGGATTTCTGGCTTTTTCTACAACATTTATAAAACAGTGAACTCATACCATTATCCCCTCTAACTACTGCAAGGTAAAAAGACAAGTCACACAAACTTCTAACAGAGTTGTGCAAAACATTCAAAAGAGATGCTTTACAAATTAGTGCAAACGAAGCAACTTTTTTTCAAACATAAAAGCAGCCACGTTTTTTATAAGTTTCATATGACTGTCCTTGCACTTTCTCAGCGTGTTTGTACGTTTATTTATTTGTTTTTTATTTATTGGAATTTGTCAAACAAAAACGAGAACAAGAAAAAGAGAATAAAAATACAATGAGAGGGACGATAGGCATGTTGGTGCACTTATGCACGCCCCCTCTACTGACCACTTTATGAAGTAAGAATACATGTAGGGGCCTGGTGGCTCAGCAGACTGATAGCATTGTGATTAACACCAGCTGCCTGCAATTACTGTAAGTTCGAATCTCACCAGGCTCAAGGTTGACTCAGCCTTCCATCCTTTCTAAGGTAGGTAAATTGAGGACCCAGTTTGTGGGGGCAATAAGCTGACTTTGTATAAATATACAAAAGTATGAAGGCTATTGCTTAACACATTGTAAGCCGCCCTGAGTCTCCGGAGAAGGGCGGCATATAAATCAAATTTAAAAAAAAATAAAACACATGTATATACATTTCCACTGGGACTGTCATGAAATGAAATAGCTTGTAGAGACACTTGGATCTTACTCCCATATCTCCCAGAAAAATTAAGCGTGGAGTGATAAAAGTGATATATGTATTTCTGTGCCTCCTCAGAGCTTAAAATTTTATAACTTTGAACAGGATTTAAAAGTCACACTGAAGTAAGTAACGTAGGTACATGAA